TGGGCGCAAATTTCTCTATTCCACTACATCGAATTGCGAACTAGTATATACCTGAAATCCTTTTTTCTCTCTGGCATATAGCTCTATAAAAAGTTGTCCAATCAACTGCAGCTTATAACCAATCAATAAACTTTCGAATGTGAAGTAAAAAAGCTTCTCAGAGGTCATGCGTTTTACTCAGTTAAGGAATATCTAGAATGTGAAGACTTATGGCTTTTAAGACTTCAACGATTGTAATATTTTTTAAACTGCCTTTTAATTGGTTCTCTTTTTTACATATATGTTTCATAATATGTCTATAATGTCATGCCTCGTCAACTGCATTTTGATTTCATTCCATATAATTTGAACAGTTTTGTCCTTACATGACTGTTCCTGTACTATTTGTATTAGTTTTTGTAATAATATATTGATTGATTGATTAGTTGAAAATTGTCATCGACGAACTCCTGACATCATCTTTACCCATCATGAAATTCCACTGTTTAGACATTGCCTTCACGGCTGTTCAAATACATAAAGATGTCTACGTAAAAGGAAACGAGGTCTTCCCACACCACCTCTGCCATCTAACAAAGGGAGGACCTTTATATGAATGCGTGCTCTTTCCCTTTTATTCTTTATTCAAAATCCCTGCCGCTGTCATGCATAAAATGAATTACTTTACCTTCTACCCATAGAAGTATTCGAGCTTTACGTATAGGAGTTCCTATTAAGCGCTGTCAAGCTGCTTTCGCTCAGACATAATTTGTCGCGTACTTTTTTTTCGAGTTTCTAAAGATTTTAATTATGCTAAGCATATTAGAAGCTGCTTTATAAGAATCATGTCGGAAACTTTTTCGCATGACAGCTTTTAAACGAAATACTTTCGTTTCGTCTGGCGGCATCTGTTTTCACTTTCAAAGCTGTATGATGGAAATTCTCGCCCTAAATGAAGTCCTACAGGAATTAAGACGCTTTCTTGGAAGTGAAGGCCTCCGGAGGAATTTGTGCCTTGTACGAGGCTGTTGAATGGAGACTTCGCAGCTGAATGAGTCTGTTGCGAAATTAGTTTTTGGGAGGTTTATTTAGGAATATCGCCCTGGATTAGGTACCCCATGTACCGTACCATTATTATCCTATGCATAATATACTCATAATTAGTGACAAAAAGAGAAAATAGATAGAGCAGTTAGTACAAATTATTTAATTTGAATGATATTTTGTATACAGTTGAACTTGAAAGAAAATGTTTAAATTTTAACAAGGTGAAGACGTTCACGATGTGGTTGTATTTTGCTAATAATCTTTATGTACAGGGTGTTAATAAAGTATGTAGACAAACTTCAACCATCGAATCCTTGGTCAATTTGAAGAAGAAATTTCCATATGAGCATGGGTCCGCAACGGCTTTGTTTTCAAGCTAGAGCATATTGGCACTAAAAGAAATGATATTGTTTTAAATAATTATAAAAGAATGGAACGTATTTTATTTTAATGAAGTATGCCCCATGGTGAATATCACATGGTTTACAGTAGTTTTCAGTATTTTTTGAAAAAATAGTATTGCATTGATTTGTTTTGATAGAATGCTTTTAATATTTAAGAATTCTGCATATCTAGACACCTATGACGTACCCGAAAACAATTGAATTAATTTATTTTCACAAATAATTACTGGCCACTTTGAACATTTATTGTAAAGAAAACTATTCGATATTTTCTATTGTTGTCGCTCTATTCGAATGTTACTGTTCAAAACTATTGACCTTTTAAATAAATTTCTTTTCCAAAAATACAGGATAATACTATATTCATCCACGTTCATATTGAGTCTCAGCAACTTGTAAAACATGCAAAATTTATCATAGGTTATACCAACTGTTTTGTAAATACGTTTCATTATTCATACAAATATTTGGAACATTACTAGTATTTCTTTAGTGATAGTGCTCTAGCGCGAAAAGAAAGCCGTTACGGACCTATGTTCATATGAACATTTAGTCTTCAAATTGAACAAAGATTCGATGGTTAAAGTTTGTCTACATACTTTATTAACACCCTGTATATGTTACAGTCATAACTCATAGTCGGACAAAACCACCTTTGACTGCAGAAGTCAATCATAACTGGTTCTGACTGTTTTCCTTAGTCCAACGTTTTCCTGTCAAAAGTGATTTTAACTTACATACTTAGTCAAAAGTGGTTTTGCCTGACTAATGGTCAAAACTCACAAGTAGTTAAGAGTGTTCGTGAAAATTACCAAAAAAATCATCTAGAAAGACTAAAGTCAACTATTTTTAAGATACCTGTGAAGTTTAAGTTTTTTATCCAAAAACGCGTCATCTCGATCTATATGTTACAGTCAAAACTCGTAGTCTTTCAAAACCACCTTTGACTGCAAGAATCAGTCATAAATGGTTCGAACTTATGTCCTTAGTCAACAATTTTTGCAGTCAAAAGTCGTTTTAACGCACGTTCTTAGTCAAAAGTGGTTTTGTCTGACTAATGGTCAAAACTCACAAGTAGTTTAGACTGTTCGTGAAAATTTCCAAAAAAATCGTCATGAAAGATTGAAGTCAACTGTTTCTAAGATACCTATGAAATATAAGTTCTTTGCCTAAAAACGCGCCATCTTGATGTATACGTTATAGTCAAAACTCATAGTCGATCAAAACCACCTTTGACTACAAAAACCAGTCATAAATGGTTCTGACTGATGTCCTTGGTCAAAAATTTGTGCAATCAAAAGTCGTTTCAACGCACGTTCTTAGTCAAAAGCGTTTTTGCCTGACTAATGGTCAAAACTCACAAGAAGTTGAGAATGTTTGTGAAAATTACCAAAAACATCACCAAGAAAAATTGAAATCAAATATTTCCAAAATATCTATGAAGTTTAGATTCTTTGTCCGAAAGCTAATTGAAATAGTACGAGACCTGTGAACTGCAAACTAAATAATAAATTCAACTTTTCTATTTTATTCTCTTCCCATAATCGTATCTACTCATTTACAACACTAATCACTATTCCTAGCCAAAAGCAGATTTGACTCACTTACTTGGTTAAAACCACTTGCAATCTAGTCAAAATCACAGCTTGTCCAATATTTTTCAGGTTTAAAGTGGTTTTGACCAACGTCCATAGTCAAAACTACTTTTGACTGGTTTAGAAGCATACCGGGCACCATAAGGAGCCAGCGCATAGGCTACTTAGACGGGCCCTTATGCACCTCTACATTCCTTAGACCTCAAGCCTCGCCATTCTAGCGAAGTTGGGGCATTCTTCTTGTGGGGTGATAGTTTTACTTGACTTTGAAGAGCTGCTAATGTTACTGGATAACGTTAAATTGGCGAATAGTCTGGAGATCTAGGAAGCTAAGGTATGAGGTTGATTTAACCATTATTGAGGTAGTCTACTAAAGCTCTGGCAATATGGTAAACGGCCATCGTCTTGTCGGATGATGAGACTTTCAAGCGCCTAGACCTAATACAGGGATGGCAAAAGATGAGCTTTTAGTATTGCCTGGATATACCGTTGCCTCCTCATACTTCCTTTAATGGAACCTAGACGTGACTTAGCACAATGATCAGAATCCTCTGTAACGTCAAAAAGGGAGTTTGAATGATTTTTACTTCCTTCGTTTTGAGCCTTTTTCTCTACCGTAACTGGACCGATTTCCAAAAACTACTACATTTTGCATCCTTAGCACATTAGTAAAGATTCCATTGAACTCCTAACGGTACCTCTCAAGTTATAGGCAGTTACCAGATTATCGAACAGGCAGATAGACAGGCAGACGGAAATGAATGGCATTTACATGTCAGATAAGATCTAAGAAACATATTATCTCACTTTTGCAAGTTTTCGCGATTACATTACATCCAGTAGGCGTGGCAGGTAAAAACATAACACTATTTATAGTGAAAATATTAGACTTACGACCCAGCACTGGTTTAGGTTATTATGACATGTGATACCATCACATCAAGATATTCTATTGAAAAAAAAACAACTCATATCAGGAACTTTCAAAGTGTATGTGTATAAAGCCAGTAAGCAACCCGAAAACAAACACCTTTATTCCGAGTTTTCTAAGTTGTCTGCCTATTCTATTTCATCTTATAATTAAATCAGTGGCCCGAAGCTGTACTGCGCTTGAATATTCATCCCGAAGCCAAACAAAATCAACTTTCCATGTAATAAAGCAGGCCAACTTTGCCTGTTTATTGGCTTATTTTGCGTGGAAATCAAAGTAAACGAAAAATTTTGTTTAGTCGCTTTCAGAGCAAACCTAATATTTGCTTACATTCGAGATGCTTTCCTTCAAGCATGTTGAGCGGGCTGGAGATCAAATTATATCGAAGCTAGCCTGGTTAAAATATCCGGAGGGCTAACTGAACGAGATACGGTGATGTGACACACGAAAGATTCAGGAACCCATAATTTGATTAACTCGTATGCCGAAAACGCCACCTATGGAGAAATTGCGCAATCATTTCTTGTTGACGTTCTGCCTAAGCCACTGCAATGGCATTGGCTATTACATCGTAGGTAGCCAAGTGCTTTTTACCGCTAAACAAATAACCTAGCGTTTTTCCCAGCAGCTATTGACGAGATGGGGTCGTGCTAGGTTAAGTCCTTAGTGATCTGGACTCCGACCCACCGAAATAGACTGCTCTTCGGTAGAACTTGGTAATATATCGTAAGAGGACTGGGTACAGAACGGTATTTTTGAAGTATTGAAATGTACCACTTCGAGGCGTTCCCAAGCAGTGATAACCTCCAGATTTCTCGCCAGAGAACAAGTCGCTGTCAGCCTTCTTTTCTCCATCTCACCGCCAAGGCCCACATATCACTGAGAATTTCTGCATGTAGAGTGCTGCTATTCGCAAATCTGTCAGTCGGATTAATCGTACGGGAAAGGAGGTCGTTGATATTTAGGAGGCACTATGTCTCACATATTACTTGTACAGGTACTATAGCCAATAAGAACTACAAATACAATCGGCATATGACTATCATCGTATTTAATTTTCAAGAAAGCTTATCTTGGCTCTAGCTAAGCAAGTAAAAATATGACACTTGTGTCGTATTCTCAGGAGTAGGCAACCCACAGAGACCCTGTGACTTACGAAGATGACGTGAAGTCAAAACTACTGATATATTTCTTTTACTATATGATTTATTTTTATAACAGTAAAATGTATTGGCTCTTAACAGGTTTCGTTCATGTGGGTAATCATGAGTTCATGAATCTGGAATCAGGAATAGAATGGATTAAAAACCTTAAAATTACCCTATGATTTTTCTGGAGCCCAACTTAACATATTCTAACCTTTGCTGTACAATCAGACCCCTGACTATCACAATGGCTTAGTTGTTATATTAACGTAAAAGGGCCGATTTCACCAACATTAATATTATGGACCAATGGGAAAATACCTTATCGAAATGCAATTTGACAGAAGCTGTCAAAGGTCTCAGAATGTCAGTGATTTCTATTAAAATATTGAATAAAATCGTGAAACTTCGACTGTATTATTAGCAAGACCACTTCTTGATTCCAACATGATGCTTTTGTACAGAGAAGACAGGTCAACTTTCATGTATTTTGATTTGTGTTATAAATTTACATTTAACAAAAGCCAATGGGAATGCGGCAAATAATAGGTCGATTTTCTAGCTGTTAAATTTGGCAGCAGATTTGGACGTTTGTTAATGCATGGTAATCTCGAATTTAAGTTCAATATAGTGTTATCATTACATATCTGTTGAATAGTGTGGATTAGTCTGTATTTTGCAAGAAAATAGAATATAAAATACATTCCATCCAATTCCTCATCTTCCTTTACATCTTAATAGTAATCATTTATTAATTTACGGGTTAATGAATGTCTTCAAAGCAATAAAAACATTCTCCTCTCCATCCTAAAACACAGATGATATGTTTAAGAATGTTTATTCACTGGTGGGGTTATCTATCTGTCACTCGCAGGTTTGCCACGTCTAACGACGATCACGTCCCGTGGTGAAGGGTACGATATGAATCTTTTACATTTGCTGCTTTTGAATTTAAAGTAGGAATATAAACATAGTACTTATGATAGTTGGAGCTAGACTGCTAACACTTCTTGAAGAATATTTGAAAAATGTGAACACCGTCATGGTCTGTTGTTAAATTGCAAATGAAGTATCTGAAAATTCTTACATACAGTGGACCTTCATCATAGTTTACTATCCTGATTATGATCATTTTTAGCAGATGTGTTGTATCATCAAATTGATGAACAAATATAAGAAAACTCTTGTAAAGCTACATACAGAGGATTTTTCATGTAAATTTACTAGGTATCATGATTATAAGCATATTTGGTGGATTGTTCGATCCGGAATGGGAGAGATCTCCTATTTATGAAAATATTTTTGGTATCATCTAACCGTTGCAATCAGTTCACAAAAACTGTGACATATGATTTATAGCATAATCCGCTGCCCTAACAATACAAATTTAACATACAGGTCGCCTAGCCGTGGGGTTACAGTGGTCGGGATGAATATCACGGCAGCTACTGATGATTTGGGCATGTCCGGTAACAACGTATGAAGTGAAACTCGCTAACTTCACAAATTTGAAGATTTTGTAAAATTTCTTTGAAAATGATGAAAGGTATGTCTGATTTGGCAGGGTAATGTCGCAGCCAAATGGCAGTCACTCTTTCTGACACAGTCCGGATCGAAAGATGATGATACGCGTGAAATGTATTGATACTTCTAAATTCAGGATCGTATCGAACATCCCTACTGTCAAGATGTATAACCCGAGGTTCCGACAGAGCTATTTTGTGGCGTCAGGGAAATAATTTTAAATTTTCATTTCCATTTTTTCAAGTGTTGAGCAATGATTTTGGGAATAATGTCACGAATAGTCTTATAAAGCATAGTAGAGTATATTTCAACAGTTGGCGGAACTTACTCCACTGGGACCAGGAGGGTGAAACGGGATATTAATGCACAATCTGGAAACCCTGTCGCACCCTCACAAAATGACCGCTGACAACCACACAAGTCACCGTGTTGTCATTGAATAGCATGGAATTAAGCCTTCAGAGTATATGTTTTGTGACTGGTACCAAGAGTTGACAGATCCCACACATGTGAAATGCAATAATCAGCTGTATTCAAATAATGTCTAATATAAATATAACCTAGAATGTGTACTCGTGAAAAAAGAAAAATATGGCAAATTTGTAGTTTTTTTGCAAGTTTTAGGTTTGCTGCTAGCTTTAAGGCATATATTTGGGAATTTCTTAATCGCTGTGAATATAGTGTGGATGTTTGTTCGGTTCCTGAACAATGAAACATATTCAATTTTATGGATGTATGGATATCAAAAAACCTGAATGGTTTTGTGGGAATATCAATCTAAGGTGCCATAATGGTACTGATGAACGGCAAGTAAATGAATGAATGTTTGGAAACGAGCAATCTTTTGGTAGAGCCTGTCATCAAGTAGGTGCTTAATGGTTATCTGCAAGAGGTTTATAGGAAAAAACACCTAGTATCCCATATCTATTGAAGAAAATAATATAAACATAAATAAAAAATCAACAATAGTAATGAATTATATGTAATTTCTTAATATTCAATAAGCTGGTGATGTTTCAATGACAAGCTGTCATCTCATACTTTGACAGTATTTTGTTTTCAACATTTCATAGCTATTGGTTGCTAAAATTTGTTGATTGGAACTTGAAGCTCATTCGCTGTAACTGATGGTCTGTTACCCTATAGGTGGAGAATAACGGACTGTTGTTGGTGAAATTGCCACTAAGAGATATACTATATAGCCTGAATATTAAGTCTGAACAGATTGTGAAACAAAATTGTTAAGTACCTGAACATGAGGAGGTGTAGACAGAACGTATGCTGCTGCATCTGCCACATCATCTGCTTTAAGCATCACTGACGAATCCATTTTAATCATTTGCCTAGTTCCTGGTTCGATAAAATCTGTGTCCGTGGCTCCAGGGCTAAGGCTCTGTAGATAAGAGAGAACAAGAACTACAACCCTTAACTCATTAGATTTCATTTTAGGAATCATTGTCTGGCAAATTTTGGCGTGGTTCTTTTAAAACTGTGGATGATTCTAAAAAGGAAAATAGGCACGACCTAGGACTCTACTTAATATGTTTATTCCGAAAAAGCTTGACCGCACCAATGGTTACACGTTCATCAAAGACAGAGTCACGTAAAGATTATTCTAACTACTCGTATAACCTTACCGTAAATTTAATCCTCCTTCTCGAATTCCCCATCTCCTTTCTCATAGCTTGACCAAGTGCTGTGACTGCATGCTTGGATGCTGTGTACATTTCGAATCCAGGAAAACCAAGCACGAAATGACCCATCATACTATTGATGTTGATTATGTGACCATCAACATTGTTTTCATTCATATTTTTTACCGTCTCCCTAGTAGCTGTACACAGACCTATTACGTTGACTTTGAATGTGTTTAGCCAGTCTTCCACATTGCCATCTGGAATTAGATTTATTCTAGAGTTAGCACAACTGAAAACTGATAGCATCAAAAGATGTTAACGTAGTAAGTTGTATGATGTTTATTAACTAGTACGCTTTGCCCATGCGAGGTTTTAAATTTATTGAAAATTTTGATACTGCCTGCCAAAACAATTTAGTAGTTGCGATTATCAGTCACTGTAAGGAAGGTTAATCAATGTCAATAAATACGATATTTTTAGTATCACGCCAATTGCTGAGTCGGCATATTTAAGCGCATAATGAATGAAAATGTTGCTAGAATACAAAAAAAATGCCCAATTAGATTTGCTAAATACAGTCTTCTGTCCACTACTAGAGAAAAACATGTTTTTACCTAAAACACTTGTAAGTCCTCCAACGGCGGCATTATTCACCAATATATGAACAGGCCCAAGATTATCCCTTATCCAGACAAAAGCATCCAAAATGTCCTGTTCCTTAGATATATCTGCACCTAACGGGTAGAATCTACCCTTCTTTGTACTCAGGTTCTTCGCCAGATCATCCAGAGGTTGCCTATTCCTTGCAAGACCTACCACCTAAGGATCGGTATTACGAGACAATTATTCCAGACTTAGTTGCCTCATCAACAAGTTAATCAGAACTTGAAAAACGACAACTTTCGGACAACTTATAATTAACTTCCATGTAACCGTTATCCATCTTGAAAATTTAAACATAAATTTTGCTTTTGAATTGCGCATATAGAGGATGTTCTGATTGTTGAGACTTTTCTTTTTAGAGACGACACTTGAAGTAACAATTGTCACTGTTCGATTAAAAACACGAGTTTTTGGACCTCTAAATTTGCAGCATATGGAGGTGCCTAGGTCTTTTGCACGAAGTAAACAAGCCTACGCAAGTCTTATAAAAATATCGACGAAAACGGCGACGTTCTGGTTACTAAAATACGCTCGCAGAGTATCAATTTGATCTTAAAGGTGCTCACAGTAAACTAATATGAAATCGATAACTACGGTTTCTTTATAGGTTAATCTTCACGCCGCACGGCGACTGATTTGGATTCTGAATTACGCAATAATAGTACCACAAAACATCATATCATTTTTGACGTTGGAGGGACGGAGGCTGGATCGCAATGGCTTCTTTAGACTTCTTTGGAACTTAAGACCCCAGTTATATTAATGCTTTTGTATGCGTTACTAGGAAAGCTTGCTTATTGTTGCTTAACTTATATGTTCTGTAAAGTCCCAACTTTTGCAGATTGTGCTATTGCAAAATTTGTTTCCGCCAAAGAGCTAAGTCTGTTACAAATCTACATCTATGATCTTCTCAAGCTTTTGTCAGCAAAACACATAAACGCTAGATCTCGTTAAATTCCAGATTCTTTAGCATGTGGAATGCCAAAGCTCAAAGCTCCAGATGCCCAGAATTCCAAAATTTGATCTGTATGCCGCCTTACGCTTAACAGTACATCTAAAATAACTTCAATAATCAGGAAGTAGCGTAGATAGATTAAAAAAACTATCCGTGAATTAATCACATGCGAGACACTGACCTCGCAGTGTGAAAGTAACGCGTAATCGCCATAAATCTATTTGCCTATATTGGCATTGGCATTACAAAATCGCGTAATCAGGTCAAAGTCTCTGAAAATTCAGAGGTATGAAACCAAATTCCTGGTAACAAATGATGACTTATATAATTATATTACATTTATTCCTTGACGACGTGCATTTTTTAAGTACACTATTTGGGCTTGTGCTTAGTAATGTGGTGATTAGTGAATCCAGAGGCTGCTCCGAAATATTCTTCACAGCTGTCAGCAGCACTGAGCTTGCAAAGATTTGTATGATTACAGCCAAAACATAGATGGTCTAGGATATCAAAGGAAAATCAGCCATTACTCTTCATATCTATAAAGATCGCAATCAACTTGCAGCAACCAATCAAGAAGTTACTGGTCAAGTCATCGTTGGTTGTCAGAGCGGTCCGTGGGACCTTAGCTCTTGAGTCACAGTGTCAGTTCGTAAGTCTATCAGGTCTGGTAACCCAGAAACCAGACAATTTTAAGGAAAAAGTTACTGATCTCAAACAATGATAATGAGGTTATGTTGCAGGTGAGAATTTTGTAAAAAGTGGTTCATTCAAAGCTTGACATTTGAATCTGCTGTAAAGCAAGAAATTAATTAATATTTTTTTCATATTTCTGGTTCTATTGGAGAGTATGGATGCTAACATTAAAGAATGATCATGGTACTTCACCATCCCAATTTTCGAGCACTTTTTCAGTTGCTTGAGCTTGAGTGGGTAATGGTATCTTATCTCAAGGTCTTTGAATGTTTAGCATAACATTTCTTCTTAACGGCTCCACACAAAAAACGGGTTCAAATCGCAGCTCAGAAACGACCAATTGTCGTCAGAATTTTAGGTTATTATTCCGGTTTGCATAGTCTTGTAGAAGCAGAAAGTTGTTAACCATTATACGGTAACTCCATTAGCTGAAACAGCATCGCCTTGTCCATTTTTAAAGAAAAATGGGTCAATAATATCGTCGAACCAAAAACCACATCAAAGAGTCACTCTCTATGGATGCATTCTCTTCTCTCCGATGGTATTTGGATTTTTTATTCACAAATGAGGCAGCTTTGTTCATGAATATAGCCTCAAACATGAAGATGAGCTTCATGTGGAAATATTTCCTGTTAACAATGCTCATTCTTCGGCCAAGCAATTTTCAGCCAGTTGGGCGAACCGAAAGTGAATTGGATGGACATTTTCCTTCAATTTTTGAAGTAACTGAGCCTTCCAAGAAAAGTGCGAAAAATGTTCCGTTCCTGAGAACGATGTCGAGTTAATGTTCGATTTTCATGCATATTCCAAGCAACAGCAACAACGTCTTAGGCTAAACACAATGACTGAGAACGCATACGTGTTGTTTTATCCAATAAAGATCCATTTTCACGAATTCGCTCCAGGAAGTAGTCCACAAACCGAACTGATGGTCACCTTCGTATACCAAATTATCTATGTAGATTTCCTACCGTTTGGATTAAGACCTTACTACTTAGAAGGAAAGTTTGACATTTTAGCATTCGGTGGCAACATATTTCAAATTTGAAACACTAGATGGCCAACAGTGAAGAGTAACTTTCCTTTATTGTTTCAAGATTTGGATTCTTACGATAGATTTTATTGAAGATGTACCACTGGAGAACTTTTGGCGGGTTGCTACCTGGCATAACCAAAGTTTGGCATCCGTTAACATTCACTAGGTATTTCATTCCATGGGATTCTGGACTAATTCAAATTGGACTTACATGCACACCTTCTTCAACCAATCTTTCTGAGATAGCAGCACCTATTCCTTTGCTAGCACCAGTGACGACAGCCACCTTTCCGATCCATCTTTCCATCGAAAGCACCATAGCAAACAATTATCTGCACCTAAAAGCCTGTTCAGAGTCAAACCAAGTAATGCAGGTGCTTCGTAATATTAAATAAACGGTTGCAGTACGAAAACAGTTGAAGGACATTTTCAGAAAGCGAACGTAGGTTATGGTCTTGCTATTAATAATCACTCAGGTATAAGACAATTATTATTTCACACAATGAAGCAGTGTGATGTAAGTTCGCAAAGTATGCGATTGTGTTTTGCAAAATTACCATCAGCAATGTAAAATTAATCTTATCACTTAACATAAAGTCTTTCACACAATGTAATGTGCCCTTTTATATAGGTACAGTGAACGGAAGATAACGTTTATCGTACACATACCTTTTCGGCCCTATTAAAAGTTCTTGCGCAAACTGTTTATTCTGCACTTAAATTCAACCGGTTCTAACTATGTTTTTCTTTTACAGGTAAGTTTCCAATTTCCCGCATCCGCTTTCCGGAGAGTGAGGTAAATACCACTAAATATTTGGTAAGGCTTTTAGTCATAGGCGTAGGAATGATATAACAGAATCAGTGCGTTGAATACGAGGGATGTCTTTTTAAGTTTTGCATATAGCAACATAGTAGGCCGCGCGAATCTTAACCGCGCTCTTTACTAAACTTAAATTGAAAGTTTCACAACAATACGTGCAGTGTTCTCACCACAGTGAATTTTTAAGTGTCACCAAGTCATTAGAAAAATGGAACTCAATCGAGAAAATTTCGCGCCATAATTTATTACAACTTTCAGAGACAATTATCGCAACAAGAATGCCTTGCCGAGTTACTGTCTGTTTTCGGCAACGAAGCGCCACATCAGTCGACAATTCCAAAAACGGCAGTCACTCAGGAAAACGTCGATGCTGAGCGCAAAATCGTCATTGAAGATAGACATGTGACATATCGCGAGATTGAGGCGTCCTTGAAGTTCCCAAAGGCCTCAATTTAAAAAAATTTACATGAAGAATTAGGAGTAAGAAAATTAGTATCTCGTTGGATACCCCACCTGTTGGCTGGAGAGCAGAAAGCAGCCAGGGTTAATTGGTGTCAAAAAACGCTTGACCGTTTCAATTCCTGAAACTAAAAAAATGTGTACAGCATTGTTAGTGGATTTACTGTTATGAACCAGAAAATAAACGACAGTCGGCTGTATGGGTGTTCCAAGGTGAAGAAAAGCCAACAAGTCATCCGTTCTCGAAGCGTTTCGAAAAAGATGGTCGCGACATTTGTGTCAAAAGCGGGTCATTTCGCAACAATTCCTCTTAATGAGCGAAGAACTGTTACTGCGGATTGGTATACCACCATTTGTTTGCCAAAAGTCATCACCGAGCATCGAAAAATTAACCCCGAAAGAAGAATCATCCCCCACCAAGACAATGCAAGCTCGCAGACAGCCCAAAAAACAAGGCAGTATTTAACGGAAGAAAACGTGGAATTATTGGACCATCCTCCATATAGTCCCGATCTAAGTCCTAACGATTTCTTTACTTTCCCGAAAATTAAAAACAGACTGCGTGGTCAAAGGTTCCAGTCACCGGAAGAAGCATTTGACGCATTCAAAAACGCCGTTTTGGATCTGCCAGCAAACGAGTGGAATAGGTGCTTCGAAAGTTGGTTCGAGCGCATGCAGATGTGTATTAATCTTCGTGGAGAATACTTCGAAAAACAATAAAGTCAGTCAAAACTACCTTCCGTGTTGTTTTATTTCCATATGCAAAACTTTAAATACATCCCTCGTAGTACGGCTATTGCTAATCTGTGCAAGTAATGCTCACTGAATCTCTTTGCCACTGCGTAATGCGAGAAAAAGCACCCAGAAATTGGAATCACTTGTACAGTACTTGTGACGTAAACACCAATCAAACTTATCCTCGGTGTGTGTTGGATGGTGCGTGGTCCGCAACGTTTTTTCACAGATATTGAGACACGTAACTTAAAGATTGCAAAAATATGTTTATCTCTCTCCTTTTCATTGTTATGGCCGTATATCATAATTACATAATTGTAGATAGAAATTTAGTTTTAAAGTCGTTTTTTGCTGGAAATTAAAATCGTAAATTTGGTCGAAAGATAGCACAGCGTAAGAAGTAGTTCCACACGGCACTTGGATATACGAACTGTAAGAGTCGTGAATCTTAATGGAATTGCCAATGTAGCGAAAATGTCGCTGGAAATTGCCAAAAAGATCACCAGCCGGCAATCCGAAGGAATTATCGCGGAAGCAGATAAAAAATCGCTAATGTCCAGTTTCCTGCCATAACTGAGATAGTGATGGAATATTTTATTCATACTGATCTGTCAGTGTTATACAGGGTATTGTTCACGTTCTAAAGTATTTACTTAAAATTAACGTGCACCAGTGGTGGAGGTACAGGGGACTAGTGGCATAATATCTCCAAATAAAAATAATACGCCACTGTTTTTTTTTCGGAACGCGCAGTTTTTCGAATTTTACGAATAATTACGCTTGTGTTTTTTCCTAGGGTCCATTGTCTTCGTAAAGATAAGAAAGACAAATTAGATAATCAAAGCTTTATTGCAATAAATGTTCAAAAAGACCAACCATTCTGACGGATACAATTGCAGCATCTTTTTAATTAAGAAAATCGGAATAAAATTTGTTGTAGCTTGAATTTGATGAAACGCATTATCCATTCTTTCTTGTAAGTTATCAGCAGTATTAATTTGTTCAGCGTACAGTAATTGTTAAAAAACGTCACACAAATAGAAATCCAGGGGGTTCAAATCAGGAGACCTCGCAGACCAATGTACGGGTCTGTTTATGCCAATCCATCGTTGTCTAAAATGATTATTTAACCATGCGGTTATGTCATGACGAACATGTGGTGGAGCACCGTCGCGTCGTGCTGATGCCACATTCGTACTCTCATTGCTAACGGAACATCTACTAACACATTTTATATGTAGTTCTCTAGAAAAGTTAAAGTTGCATTTAAACGTTCTGGCAATACGTGCATAAACAGTTGGTCATTGAAAATGCCGCACCAGACATTTCTAAAAAGTCTGTGTTGAAACGAGTGGATCCTTACAGAACGGGGATTTTCTAACGACCTACTTATGTTCATTATTAGAATTAAAAAACTTCCCGATTTAAAACCCTCCACGCAAGTCTTTGGGTACATGGTAACTAGGCAGGAATTCGCCTCGTACTTGCACTAGGATCATCCAAACCCAGATTAATCACTTCCAGTTCCTCTTGAACAGTATGTCGGACACCATGGCGTCTAATTCAGAGAAGCTTGGCAATTCCATATTTGTCGAAGTCTTAGAAATTAACACATAAAAACCTTTAGGGTGTGTTGGCGTCTGTTAGGAAATCTATGTTGATACTCCCGAGAAGCCGCTAAATCAGTTCCATTACGGAACCCGTACAGAAAAATAATATCGGCGTACTCATCATTGCTAAATTCCATTTCACAACACGCAAATGGAAAAAAGAAACTTTTGACTTGACTTTTACAAAAACAAATTGTACTAGTAACGGTAACAACCGTGAACATATAACTTTGACAAACTATCTCCCAAGAAACGTCAAGTTGGTATCAAGGCCTATTTTATATTGAAACTAATTGTACATCGTCTCTTCATGAATGATCTCACTTGTCTTATTTTTATTTTTACGAAAACACACGAGTAATTATTTATTTGTAGCAAATTGAAGGAAAAATTTGAAAAATTGCGCGTTTCGAAAGAAAACAGTGGCGTACTATTTTTATTTGGAAAAGTAATGCCACTAATACCCTGTATCCCCGCCACTGGTGCATGTTAATTTTAAGTAAAACCTTTTGAGTGGGAACAATACTTTCATATCAAATTTTAGTTCTTTCCAGTTGATGGTTCTGAAGATATTGTTTTTTATTTTTAAACTTTAACACCCCCTATCTATTTAAAGAAGCCGTCGAGGAAAAAATGTTACTACGAAGACCCCCTTACAATTTTTGATAACATGTTCTTTTGATGAAACCACATGTTCTTATGACAAAACCAGCTTATATATTCGTGCTATTTTGGCGCTCATTGTGAACTAATCTTGCACTTCGTGTAAAAATTATGCACGATCTGCAGCAACACTGCCACGTTTCATAGCTTTGATTTGTGGCTTTGAATGCAGCCGTGCTGTTATAGCGTTCTCATGGCTTTCTGTTTTCTGCTTCGAAAATTCACCTTAACAACAGGGAAAAGGACAATGAAATGGAAAAATATTTGTCATTGACAGATGATTGCACGAGACGCGAAATGACAGTTATCTTATGTTCATATGGGAGAAAATTCAGGATCAACGGGATGAACTAAATCAGACGATTTCAAATAGACTGCGCTGATTCCGCACACGCGACTTCCATTCATTCAATTCTCTCATAACTAGTGTGTTGAAATGTCAATTGTTTCAAATAATTTACAAAGCCAGAAATTTGTGCACTCGGTGAAAAAAGAATAATATGGAAAGTTGTAGTTTTTTTTGCCGGTTTTAGGTTTGCTGGCAACATCACTACAAATATTTTGGTATCTCTTAATGCTATGAATATGCTGTGAATAGTTGTATATTATTTTGTACCTGTACAAAATCCAAGATGCCAAAATAGTACAGCAAGTGAATGTATGAATTTGTGGAAACAATATTTAAGGAATTTTTGGTAGATAGTTTTCGTCATGAAATAGGTGTCTGAAGTGTTTTATATGAAAGAACCCGAGGTAGGAGATGTTAAATCAGTAAAATCGCATATTAACTACAGAAAATAGAGCAAACATGAATAAATAATCAACAATAGCTATAAAACGTGGGTCTCATTGGTAAATCAATGGTTTTTTTTAATTGTGATTCGAAATGAAGTTCAATAGCGTTGTGATATTTCAATGACAAGCGGTCATCTTATACTTTGTTAATATTTCGTTTAACGTTTTTACTTTCGATTGCATGCTTTTTTAAAATAAAAGATTACTGTCTTCTGATCTAGATCAGAAAAATGAAAATTTCAGAGTGCTATTCTTCAGCAAACAAAATGTTGAAGCAAACTCAATGGCTTTTGAAAGGACAAGGTTTGTACTTTGAGGTGATATCTACGGTCCTATGGGAAAAAATAATCCGCAATGCTACTTAATCTCAAGTATAGGCGAAAATATATTTTCACACATTTTGATTTGTATATTCTAGAAACTACGAGTCAAATGAGATATTCGGATAGACTGCATCCAAAACCTTCGGGAAAGTATACTCTGGTTTCTAAGTAAAAGTCTTGTCGGCATGTGCAATGTTTCAGTCAAAGGAACGGTGTGCCTCACCTGAGCTCCGCCTCCATTCCGTCTCTGAGGTTAAAAGGTTAAACAAATTTGGACCGTGAATATAAGCCTTAAAACTTTTAACGACCTCAAATTAGGTTTTGGTGAACTGGGGGAATATGGGTACGAGGAGCTCCACTATTGTGATCTTTATTTTAATAATGTTAGGTATATACAGATTTACACAGACTTTACCAAAGTGCTTATCTGAGATGGTAATTAAAGTTTTTCAAACGAGTGGTAAGCCGCATTATTCCAGGCGGTTGCGGCCTTTACGCTTTTCCAGATTTTCCGGATTTTGTTGCTTTCATTCGGCACCCGCGGTTTGTAAGTTGTTGCGGAATAAACGGTCTGCTAATGGAGCTCTGGTTAGATAAACGAAGAATTTTTCAGCGAATATAATCAGAACATTTGAATCCACTTATCATCATTTGAACAACTGCAGGTTGTCCAAGAACATTTTCAAAAACCCCCAATAATCCAACCAGTCTCAATCAATATTAGCGTTTACCTCCACAATACACTGTATTACAGGTTGGTCATTAACGATAATAATACCACAATAATTGATCTCGCAACCCAATTCCATTAATTACCTTTTTTCTCCTAGCATAGTATGTAAAGTGCAATATTAGAAGAGTAGCGTATTGTCTACATGTTATCAGTATGTCTTGTAAATATGCCTCCCTCCTAGCTATTTCGTCGGATAACCATTGTGCAGATGCGGAGACAGCGGAGATAAGAGGAGGGTGTAAGAGTCCAAAAAATTTACGGTATATAAAATAAAGAACACCCTAAAGAATAGTAACACTGACCTGATTTAAGCATTTTCAGTTGGTTTGGCCGGTCAGAGGTTGGTCTGCTCAGTACGACCATCAGGTTGCGAATTGTCAACTGTCTGCTACTGTAAAAAATAAACTACGATAAGGAAATCCTACAATTTTTCGACAGTGCATCTTTTTTTTTCTTTTTGGCGGTATCGTTAGATAATTGCTTGTTAAATATAAGTTCATATTACCGTCATGAAAGGGCTGAAGCATTTGCCGCGTTTGACTCAAAATCTCGAAAACCGTCGATTTGATTGAAAGAAGTAATAAAAAATCCTTTTGCTTCTAAGAAAATTGGTCGTATAGTCAATAGATTGCGAGCCATTAAAGGATAAATGTACTCGTGATAATATTTCCGCTTCTAATGTGTAAACCAAGAATCTAAGAGTATGAAACACACTATTTTTTTGTAGAGAATACAATTTGCTACAGAAAAATGGCGTCAAATAAGTTGACTTCCAACGCAACGATGTCATCAGTTCGAGAAGGATTGTGTTCTGCACAAGTTAGCCTTTCTGAGAAAAAAGTTAGCTAGGGACATACAGCG